AAAGGGAAAGAATTCCAAAATATCAAAATTTTCTAGTTGAATGCGTTGACCGGCGCACCTATCGCATTCGTGCACTCTGAGAGATTGAAAACTTAGGCCTACTAGCTTCTCACCTGTGCATGTTTAGACTCTCTCCTATAAATGGGGCCTTCTTACATTTTAGTTTAGTTACAACTAACCTACCAATATTAAGCGAACTGTGGAGAGCTTGGGAAAGGGTGTACCCATGATACCAGTAGAGTGTATACTGGTACGGACTCTCCTGATAAAATAATATGACACTCTATGAAAAAATGGCCAAAGGAATGACTATTCTCCGGGCATCTCTAAGGCGTATTATTAATCAATACAGATAAAACATAAGTGGCAAAGTTCACAAGAATTCAGATATAATCGTTCGAGTGTTGTTGTCCCCACGACTGTAGCAGGGCTGAAGTCGATAACGAATGTCAGGATTTTCCACACATTTTTTATTCAAATACTAAACAAAAATACAGGTAATATGCCTTACTGTAATCAGTTGCAAAACTTGATATATATTTATACAACCCCCCCCCCCAAAAAAAAAAAAAAAAAAAGTAATCGGTTCGTTTTTTAAGTTTGTCAGGAATTATGGGGATGGAGATGTTAGCTTTAGTAAGGTGCCCTGCACGTTTAACGATGATTTTAATTTCCCTCTTGCATTCCCTCCGATGTACACTGTGTACTTCAAAGTCAGTTTCAGCTTTCTGATAATCACGTACGGCTACTTGTGTCCGATTCTCGACCTTCGCTATTCACTGATTTCCCAGAAGAGCCATAAAGGGGCTTCCGCCATATCTCGATAATTACATTTTATCTCAATAGAGAAACACAATATTGAGGAACGGATGAATCCCCCCCCCCCCCCCCCCCTCTCTCTCTGTCTCTCTCTCTCTCTCTCTCTCTACAATCTTTTAACGAATAATAAATGTCAATCTGTCTTTTATATGCACTTGCCTGTCATCTGTTTACATCGTGAATAAGCAGAATTAAAAGAATAATATAGAAACGTGTTTTAGTCCAATAGGTAAGGTAAGTTAACGACGAGCCATACAAACCGCGTTTCGCATTCTACTGCAAAATAATTCTAATTCTTCGAAAATTCGGCAACCCCCTTCCTTCCTATCACCTGAGTATTCTGTATCCAACATCGCCCAGTAAATCAAGATTTATAAACCCTTGCCTTGCTAGCGCTCCTATAAATCCTAACTTTCACTGTCAGGAGTGAAATGCACCAGTGTTTAGTTCTATTAGGAGAATTTCTGAAGTATTGGGAAATTCGGACACAGAGACTTTTAAAAAGATTGTTTTGGCCAACGGTTTTTTGGGTATTGTTTCCGTTGTTAAAACACGTTGAAATCTCCAGAAAAATAAAAATTTGCTTCCCAGAGATCCAAGGTACCTTTCGTGCCTTTAAGACAAAGAAATTCTATGGTATAGCTTTCATGTTGCATTTGAGTGGTTGCATGTACATGTTGCAGGCACTTGGGATGTCAACTTCCTTTCCCGTCATAAATGAATATTCTCCGGTAACAAGTGACAATCCAGGTCACCATACCACGTCAGACCACAGTTTGTACCCTGGATATAAAGGCAAAGAATGTGCGCTAGACCTTTAGATATACACACTGTAGTAACGTTATGATGTTCACTGAGATTTCAAAACGTATCCTTAAACACGTACCAAGGTACACCGAGGCGAAAACCGTAGGAAAGATTACGATTTATAAACCTGTTTCCAAGCTAATTTTTTTCGTTTATGAAGCACATTTAAAATGGAATGGGAGAGTGGCTCGTTGCACTGGTATTACACTCGTCAAGCACCGGATTGCTATTCTCGAACTTTGAAAAGGCATGTGAAATATAATAATTGAAATGTTGTATTGAATTAATGTTTCCATTCACTCGTGACAAGGAAGCGAGTGTATTTTATGATTTTATGAACACAGCGCGTGTATGTGTCAGACAATTCTTCGCCCTGTATTCTGTAAGCATTATGTCGAAGAACTCTTTTATCAACTGTTTATTAAATCGACTATCCATTTATTTATTATTGAGTCAGTTACTTGAACATGTTTTTTTTTTTAAATTTTTATGATTATTATTATTTTATTTATTTATTTATTTATTTATTTATTTATTTATTGCATCCGAGCGCTTCCTCATTTTAAGCCAAAAGCACACGGTTCATGCGTATTGGTCCTCGCAAGATCATATATCATTGCTTACGTGCCGAAAGCCGTCGAAGTGACCCGATTGCTGTCGACCGTTAGTGGCCAGTAGCTGAGCTCGTAGCGCAGGAGTGTGAACCTGGCTATAGATACTACATACAGTATAGTTCATGGAACTCTGAGACTCAGGGTTTACTTTGTGGCAATTAAGGAGATTGCAGCTACAAGATGTTAGTATTAATAAAGTAATAACATCACCTTGTTATAGCGGCGTGTTTCGAGTGCTGAATTATTGATAAAAGAAATAAACGGAAGGGTATGTAGCGACGGCACTAAATGGTCAGAAGGTTGTGGCCTATAACATATCCGTTCAACTGGAGAGCCTTAAATGACTTAACCAGACAGCACACCACTGGTGCCCTGAGTATCATCAAGGAACTTGGTTCCCAGAAACCCTGAAAGATTTTATCAGAAAAGTTGGTCGTGGATCAGATTAATCTACAGTAATTTAAATTGATTCAAGGAATGATAAAAAAGAGCCATTGAAAAAAAATTGAAGAAAACTAAGTTTGAATATAATTAATGGGAGTTATTTTGCTTAAAACAAAAATACTCGCACGTTAGGAATGTGGGAGGTTCACAGAGCACAGTCGGGAGCGTGCACGGTTCCAGAAATTCAAAGCGGGCACGAAACCCTATGGCAACGGGAAAATCTCGCTCTCGTGTCCATGTGACCGGTCAGGTACGCATGCGCACGTCCGTATACGTACACCGCAATGACCAACGCGGCATCGGAATGTCACGAGAACAAATAAGGGCCATCAAAGGACGGAGAAAATACAATCTTTTGCATTAATAAACGGCTGCAGTTCAGAAAAGTGATCAATTTGACAATAATATTTATGACACCTATTCGATTTACGGTCTGGTGTGGGGCCTTAAAGAGAAGTATCAGTGATTGATCAACAGGAAGACGCTGTCTTCGACTGTTGTTCGTTGTCAAGCTTTTCTATATCGGCTAATGCCAATTTCACTCTGAAGGGACCTTGTATCTAGTAATCAAAATTGGTCATCTTAGACATGAGAAATGCAGAGCGCCCAGAGAAATAACGTTGACTACTTTGGCTTCCTTTATGATTGATGATATTCTTACAGACGGTAACTAAGTGTGCTGCCGATAAAATGGTAGAGTTCAAACACAACATGTACAGGAACGTCATTTCGCAACGTCTAATTTAAATTACATTGATGCCAAATTACAAAAAGAAAAAAAATTGTATAAGAAAGCACCTTCCAACTAATTCTAATAATAATTTAGGCATAAACATATCGATATAAAGGAATATATACTGGGCATCTTGATTGTGATGACTTGCTATTAACGCATTCTTCAACATGCACTAAAGACAATAATGGCACTTGAGAATGCTTAACCTAAGTGGATTTCTTAGAATCTTATCATGGCCGACGCTCTTGGCACCTGACAGCAATTAAGTCGGCTAATGGCAAAGTGTGATAACGTAGAATAATTAATCACTAACACCATGAGTCGATTTATTTCATGATGTTGGTACATGGTTGGCAGTACACTGCCACATGTCATTGACCCGTCGAAAAAAGAAATTGAAGCGTCAACGGAAGTTTGAAGCCTGTTAGTAGGGAGGAAATAGTGAAGTCGTATAACAGCCCGGATCGAAATTAATGTGCTTTTAAAAAGAAAAGGATCTAATGCATTCGGGGGAGGAGGGGGGATGACCTTGTACCGCTTCCCTCGGCCTTTCTAAAATGGTCACTTAATCAGTAAACGGGTCATTATTCACGGCAAAAATTCTATCTTTGATTTTACGCTTCATTCACGGTGTCCTCGTATGAATTATGAAAAATAGCAGATTAACTGTAGATAATACCTTATTTGATCATATCTATCTAATTTATTACAATTACGATTTCCGCATATCATCAATCTTAAATTAATAGCATCCATTGACCAATCTCTGTTAGTTATACATATTTCAGGGCCGAGCAAGTGGAAAATGTAAGTAATGGCAGTTAACTGGAACATCTTTCATTATGCGAGAAAAGCACTTTACATATTATTTTGGAAGCAATACATATATATTTTTTATTTTTCAACAGCGCCATCTTCATTTTGGCTAGTGATTTATGCTAGTTGTGTCTCCCCCTCCCTCAACCTACTAGTACCCCGACACTGGCGTCATATTAAAGTTATTTGAAGGTGGAATGCAAAACAAGCCAGACTAAGGGGCCGTCCATTTTTATCAACGCTTTCACAAGTCTACAAATCGTACGCTGTGGGGGGAGGGGGGGGGAGTGGCGGTGTTCACTTTTGAAAAATAATAAAAAAATAATGGTCCAAATTGCTGTCAGAGGTCATCATCATTTATAGTTTCACCTTGTACTCTCTGAGGAAGAGGGGGAGAAGGTCCGGAAAAAGTCAACTCTTGTAAAAATGATGATAAAAATTGATGACACATTCCTGAGAAACGGATAACTTTCGCTAAAAAATTCTGTACGTAAAACGAATCATCAATATTATAAAATACTTTTTTTTTCATTTTCCTGAAATAGGTTGATCTTCAATGGCGTCTCGGTATAACTCAACACGACATAATAATAATTTTCATTCTTATCCGTATAATGAAAACACAGTGCCTCAATTATTGTATTTCTGTCATTTCATACCATAGATCTTCATTATAAACGGGCACGATGGATTTGTTTTATCAAGCCGAAATTTCCCTACAGCACGATTTAAATTACAAAACCTTTTTTTCTTCGATCATATCTTCGGCAACGGTTTCTTGATGGTGTTTAATGGGTTATACCTTGATGGGAAAGTGAAATAACTAAAATTTCCAGGAAAAATGAATTTTACTCTGTGAAGGTCTGTGTATGTTATTAATGGTACTTGACGGAATAAGAACGTCTGCATGCCTGCTTACCAAGCCCCGAGTTGAAGAGGCCATTTCAAACTGATCTCTTTTATCGATCAGCATTTCATTGCTGTTTCCAGTGTATGAAACTCCTATGAAACCTATGAAACCCAGGGTGATTGACTGTTGGTAATAGAAAGCTGGCGCTATCAAATTTAGCTGATGCTCGGCCCTGTTATACATGTATAGTGCTTGGAATGTTTTCAATGAAGTTGCGATATAGCTCAAACCCTGATGTGTAGGACTGCTGGTGTTAAAGGTACTCAAAATGAACTTTCCTCGAGAAAAAAAGCAATAGACTCATTCATAGACCCGTCCCTGCATTCGGATAAGATATTTTATTCTATTTTTAATTCAATAACTTAGTTTTGAATGACTGTCAGTCGTTTAGACCGCCCTGTCTTCCCATACATTTCAGGAGGAACCATCGGCGCCAGGTTCTTTAATTTGAGGGGATTTAAAGTCTTTAAGACGTGAAATGAGAGAGGTGAATGGCCTCGGAAAATTAGCACACAGATAGAAAATATGACATTGGAAATCTTTAACCGAGTACAGCATACCAGTACCATTCAAACGGGTACGTACACTGTACAAACTACATATCATGTGCCGCCAAACACACGGAAATCCCTCGATGTTGAGCAAATAGTTTGAACCCATAAGTCATGGGGGTCAAACTTGTTGGTCACAAGACAAGCTCTATATAAAGATCGAGCTCTAGCTCACACGCTGTAGTCAACGACTGCTGGTGTGTCACCAAGTGCCATCTCACTATAGCAGCAGTTTTACATTAGAAGATGGCGGTAATGGGTTTTCCAGATAATTAAATGATAAAAACAAAGCAGTGATTTTTCCATGCGGTTTCCCAATGGAACTTTAAGCCTTCACAGATTGATAAGGAAGCTGTCAAAGGGTTCCATCAACGTTCCATCACTTGTGCGTTGAATTGTCAGTTGAACGAGAGCGTTCGGGTGTTTCAGAAATGGAGAAGGCAGAATCATTTGTATATCTGTCATTTATAGGTGCTGTTATTATCAAATATGCACGCACAGCTCGGAGGGCGAATTAAATAACTAACTTGAAGATAAAAATACGATATACGGTGAATATGAAATTTCTGTATGACAGCTGAAACTGGAATTAAACAGAGAGGACGGAGTAAACCTGGATGTGTTCTTCCTAACGGAAAGACGAATGTTGCAGATTTGAACCAAAAATTAAAGAAGAGGTGGGAAGATTTCGTAAAGCATTTCACATTGGGGGAAAACAAGAATAAAAACAATTCATTTGGGTAATCTTTAAAAGTAATTTTTTTCTTTTTGAAAAAAAAAAAAAGAAAAAAACGGACAAGATCTGTAACTGAAATGGAATACAACATCACTGAACCGTTGCGCAATAATCAAAGCATCACCGAAAACCTCAGAACATGGCCGCTTTATATATTGGTCTGGATCTCTGTCACCTTTATGTTCATTTTCATCTCGGGTGTTTCCGGTAATCTTCTGGTGCTCTTCGTCATCCTGAAAAACAAACACATGAGGAAATCTACCGATTTATTCATTGCTAATCTCAGCGTTGCTGACCTGTTGGTCCTTGTTGTTTGTATGTCGGCCGCCATGATTGAGGTGTATGCGAACGAAGTCTGGACGCTAGGAGAGGTTATGTGTAAGTACCAGAACACAATTTATATTATGAAGTAACTTTGAAAAGTGCTGTGTAGATTAGTTGCCCAGGCGTTTTGTTTCACACGAATATTTTTTTAATCCAACAGGCCCGTAGCCAGCAATTCCAAAAGGGGGTTCTTTTCTTAAAAAGTAGACCTTTTCCATGAACTAGATAAAATTTTACCTAGAGGCAAAATGGGTGGTTTCTGTTTTCTATTTTTGTGTTAGAAGAACGTTTTTCAATTTGATTTTAGGTAAAACCGTGCCGTTCTTGGAGCACTTAGTAGAACACGCCTCGGCCATGTCTATTGTTGGCATCAGCATTGAACGCTATTACGTCATATGTAAACCATTTTACGCCCACATCAGGTGGACCAGACGCCAGGTCATTTTATCATTGGTCAGCGTGTGGGTGACCTCGGCGCTAGCCACTTCTCCTTTCTTGGTCATCGCCGAGGAAACGACGTCATTTTACGCAAATGGCGACCGGATAACCACCTGCAATACTTCGATCAATACAGTCTGGAAGCGCGTGTACGTCATAGTAACGACGTCTCTCTTCTTCTTTTTGCCCGTCTGTCTTCTCGTCTGCATCTACAGCCCCATCTGTTGGACCTTGGCAAAAGCAAACCGAAAGAAACTAGGAGGATCAGAAACTTCACAGAGGTACTCCCTAAAAAAGAGAAAACAGGTAATAATAGTGATTATTGCTGTGACGGTTGTCTTCTTTGCCTGTTTATTACCGTTCAGAGTCTTCTCACTGTGGGCAGTGTTTGGGAACACACTAGACAAGAAGAAGCTCTCTGTGGATGGATGGCTTAATTTAACGTCAATCGTCAGGGCGCTGTTTTACTTAAATAGTGCCGTCAACCCAATTTTGTATAACACTTTTTCGTCCAAATTTCGGAGAGCCTTTTCCAAAGCGGTTCGTGCGTGCCTCTGTGCACGAAATCCGTTCAAACGGCAAACGACGCTATCGACAGATCCCAATGACCGATCAATTGGCGATCTGAAGGAAACTCCAAAGGACGAATGTGACGGCCTCTCGGAAGGTCATGCCAAGGGCATGTCAAGGTCACATATTAAAAATGAATCTTTTTGATGGAAGTTCAGTGTCGGACACTGACAAGGCGGAAGAAGTGTGAAAGGTATTCTATATTTGGATATTAAGAGGGATACTTCAGGAAAACGTATAATGGAAGAAAATGGACTATATTACCTCTGACCATTGACATTTGAGTGTACTGCAAAAGGTTCTGTTCCGATAGCCTTCCTTTAGTTTTGTATAATTAAATTAAAATTGGAAATGCTAAAGTCTCGAGTAGAAGCAAGAACTAATAACAATAATAATGATAATAATAAAATCTTATATTGAGCATTCCATAAAAGCTTGATTTGTCTTACAAAATTTGATTGAATATGTTTTCATATACTAAAATGTAGGTCCAGAGAACAATTACTGCAAAATGCATCTAGCTCTGTCATTTAAAAATGAGGTGGGGGGAGAAGAATAAAAAGCCTACCCACCCACCTCTCTTCCTTATGCTTAATCCGCCTGTGAAAAGTTGGATGGCAGTTTATGTCACGTGACAAGAAGAGCAGCTGTAATATTCCCCCATCTAAAACTAGCTAGCTAAACGAATTTATAAATATCATTGAGATGATAAGAGATCGACAGCCATATCCCCTGGGGCCACGTCCACAAATGATCATGGCCTTATCGTATTAAAATGATCGCAACCCGAAGCAACATGTGATAACGCTTTGATGAAAAGAACCATCTAACGTTGATAGATGCCGACCACGTTAATAATTCCATTTAGATCAGTTTTTATAGATCGACGGTTTTTACGAATGCATTTGTCAGTTCAAGTTCTGGAGATTGTAAAGTCAATAAAATTTCCAGTTTTAGCATTTAAATGGCTAGAGCACGTGTGTCGTCTATTTGTTTATTTTATAAATGAAGTTTACTTGATTTTTTTTTTTTTTTAGTTTTTTTGTAAGCTCTGCTTTACTTTTTACCTGTTTTAACACCCGTCATCCTGCCACATGTACAAATGACGCACCTGCTTATGAGAGAGAGAGAGAGAGAGAGAGAGAGAGAGCAGTACTAAGGTCATTGGAAGATATCAAATTCGAATTCATGTACTTGTACAATAGTTCTTATCCCCAGAAGCGTTCCGAGGAAAGGCAATTATGCTTCCATTTACATAAAAGGCAAGCAGAAGCATTTCCAGGAAAATTAAATGGACGCACAGAGAAAGGTGCAAATGCCATCATCTATTTTTCAGTGGACGTAAACATCATAAACCAGCAGTTCATTTGACGCTGATCACAACAGACGTTTGTAAAGCTTTGTTTATGTCGGTCGACAGTCATCATTTACAATGTGACACAAACCGGAAACAGAAAAAGCAGAATCTGCACGGAAACGCGAAGTCCGGCACTTAAAGACTACGGTTCATTTTTGGAATCTCTACACAGTGTGCACAAAATGCTATGCAGCATTTCGTCAAGTCATAGGTTCGTGTTTACTTATTCATTTACCTCTGTATTTATTAACGCATTTTATCCGTATTTTGCAGAGGAGGGGGAGAGATCCGACAGTTTTTGAAAGATACAGAGAAAGACAGATTGAAAGAATTTTTGAGCGGCGTTTTTACAGTATTGAATACATAAAACGTGTTCCCGTATAATCGAGACAGGGACGGTTTAAAACAAAGGGAATCTTAAACTACTTTCCATATAATATTTATTTCTGGATATACCCATACATTTCTAGTGTTTAAATGTACATATTGCAATTAATTACAAGTCAATTCAAATGTTGTTTGATGAAGGATACGTAAAATTAAGCATCTTTTGACATTTCAGTCATTTTATTTCGGTTTTGCAAAAACCAGAAAATGCAAAAAAAAAAAAAAAAAAAAAAAAAAAAAAAAAAAAAAAATGAAAAAGATATGAGAAACTCTTTTAAACAAGACGCGTTGTGTTTTTACGTGGAAACATTCAAGGATCTGAAATTTGAAAGCGTGCACATACCACCCGTTTCCAAATGTTAATCACTTTGTGAAAAAACAGATATCTCTCATTCTTTGCCTAAAATTACAGCAATTAATTACAGTAATCTGCCATTATAACGAAAGAAGAGAATCTTCCAAACTTGCAAATAGTCCGTGTCGTTTTATTTGACCCTACTCTAGTGTTTCTCTTAAAATTATCCCACCAAAACAATCAAAATCAGTTTTACGGTTTTCAAGGTCTTTGCACATTCTGGTGGATAAGAAAATATGTAAAGCCGCTTCAACACTAAGGCAAAAATAAAAAGTTTACCAGAGTAATTTGACCCCTTCAACCACGCGCTTAAACCCAGTTTAAAAGCTGTGTACGTAATCTGTGGGACACACCTCCCACCCGCTTCACAGTGCTATATATTTGGACTGAATAAGTGAATGTGGTAACAAATGGGGGCATTTTGGACACCAAAGATACCAGTACATCTTGGAACGGATGCGTCCCGTCACAGATAAACCTCTTGTAACGGAAGCACGTTATAACAAACACGCCTCCGTTGAGGAGCCCACTTCACAACAGGACATTGTCAAAAACTTTAAGACGAAGGTTTTAGTCTATTTAGACCTAGGATAAATCGGCAAAAATCCAATTAAATAAAGTATTGCGCCTGTTTTATATTTATTAATACTTGACTAATGTTTAAGAGTAATACATATTTGATAGTAGTGGGTTTTTCATCAATGGCAGATCGATTCAAGGCCCTAGTAACGGTGGGCCCAGTATACCATAAAGTTCGTTATATATTTAGTCTATTGTCAAAGAAAAGTGTGTATTCCCGTGGGTAGTTCACTGGCTAGTCACAGGTGGAAGGAAGTCGTCACAAGGCTGGTCACCACAGATAACTGAAATAAAAGAAACGATAATCAATCTGAATTATGATGAAAACGTACATGTTCAGCTTTTTTTGTCCCATACTTTTTGAACTTGTGAAATACTTGTACTACTAGTACTACTCAATTTATCTTAGATGTTAGGCGGTGGAATTTTGATATTTTCTTGAGATTGCAGGGGGAGGGGAAAAAGGAGGGGAGGTTGACAGCAGAAGAGAAAGGTTGGCCGTCTATAGCTGTCGTCTCACGTACCGCACTGATGATTTCTGGCCACCTGTCCAACAGCGCATGTCAACTGCAGTTCCGGTATGAGAGCGAGGTTCTGTCTGTTCACCTTGGGTCCAAGCACACCAACCGATGGGATATACGCAGCAAAAAAGAATGGATAACGACTGTTTTTCTGCAGCGATGTAATTAAATCTCTCATGTACTTGTTCAGCGCCGGGTGTGTGGTGAGATCTTCCAGACTCTTGAAGGACACGTTAAATTCACTGCCACTCCCATCACATGTAATGGAGGCCGGCCCGTAGTCGCAAGACTCACTTCCGTTGTGCCAGCAAAGCGTCTGAAGATTAAGCATCTGAGAGTCCATCAGCATGCCGATAATATCTCGTCTTTGGTTTTCTGTGGGACAAGGGGCTTTATATGTCGCAGTGAAAGTAAGATCTGTCTCCAAAGGAGGGGCAACGGCTAAAAAGAAATTCACAATTTTCACTCTTGCACATTCAAGCAAATCTTTTTAGTCTATCCTGGAATTTTGTGAAAAATATTTGAAGACATATCGTCCATAAATAAACAAAAAGACAAATCAACGCCGATGAAAAATAAAAGCGATATCCACACTAAAAAATGAATAGATTACTCACGGTAACAGTCGGGGACGTTGTTGTTAGGAACCCATGTTCCTTGCGGTCCGCAGACATACTCGTCAGGTGGGGGGTCTACGAAACCAAATCCATCGTCACAGCTCACGTGGCAAAATTTGCCCAACCTCCACGTGTCGCAGTCGTGAGTGCCATTTCGCGGTTTTTCGAGGGGTTCACATTCCGTTCCTGAAAGAGTGAGTGGTACTTGCAAAGCAGTAGAAACACATTATTTGTGCATGTACATGCACATTTACCAGGCCTCCAAACTACTTTTCTTGTAATATGACACGTGCGTTGTAAGCAGGATTTATTTATAGTTAGTATTAGTTTTTAATGCAAGTTGCTTGTCTCCCTTCGTTTAAAATTGTTTCACGTCCACATGTACTTGGATTTTTTTAAACCCCTTAAGAAGGCCTAGGGACCGACAGCTTGGATTAGATATCACATCTTTATAGTAGATCTTCATAGATGCATCAGTATAATAACTAATGTACTTACGTGTAACATTGACTAAAAACTCGCAAGTCGCCGTGTTCCCAGAGGCATCTTTCCCGACATATCTCACCGTAGTCTCGCCAAACGGGAAGTCATTATTGACAGGCACGTTGTCCACCACGTCCACCTGACCAGAGTTGTCCGAAAAGACCGGCAAATCCCACGTTAGGTGCTTCACGAGGATACCTTCTTGGACGTTCACTGATATTGGATTGGGGCAGTTGATGAAAGAAGGAGGTTCTTGATCTAAAACAAAAATGTACATTTCTCGGTCATTTCTTGGAGACTAAACGTGTTTCTCCTGGAGGCGTGGAGTTTCAAATGTTCAATTTTATATGAACATATAACTGACACGTTGGAGTGAGTTTTGAAAGCTAGAATTAAACGTAGTCAAGGAGGGAGGGGGCGTTGCTGGATTCTCGCCGGGTTTCAGTATTTGGGACTTGAATTGTTATGATGATTGGTTTCTTCACTTTCTGTGCCTGTGTCCCTCTTGGGATAAAATCTTGGCTTTCTATAGTCTGATGAGATGGCCTGTAGCAGATCGTAGTTTGTTACATAATTACATAAAAGATGTATTCAATTTACTAACAGACTGCAGAGCCCCCTATCGAAGGGTAGTGTTAGGATAACTTCTTTTGTCAAATAAATCCCTCACCTTTCACATGTACCGTGAAGGCACAAGTAGCTTTATTTCCCTCTCCGTCGGTGGCAGTGTATACAATACTGTGGAACCCAACTGGGAGATCTACTGTATTGGGTGGTCCGTTCAGGCTGGTGACCTCCACGTTATCCGAGTATCGCGGGGAATCCCACGTGACTGTAGCATTCGGTCTTCCTGGATCCGTATTTTTGTCAATATTCTGTGGACAGGTCTCGAATTTAGGAGGCGTGGCATCTGAAAAGCGTCAAGTTCAAGCATGACTTTGTTCTATAAAGGTCTCTCTCTCTCTTCTCTCTCCCTCTCTCCGTCAAGATTGAACAAAAAGCAAATACAAACAATCAGACACATATATACAGACAAAGAGGCGACACAGATCCAGTCGAAACAAAAAGAAAATCGCACTGTTCGCTCTTTATTCGCCACTCGCTCTCTACCCAACGATGCACTGATCATACCTTTACAAGTCTTTGCATCATTTCGCAGTTTAAAACCACTGTTACATCCGCAAGAATGGCCGCCTTGGAAGTTATAACAATTCTGCTCACAACCGCCATTATTTGTCTCACATTCATTTATGTCTAAAAAGGAAGATTATTACATTGAGATTACCTCCATTTGGATTTTACTGAAAAAGTACCTCTTTTTAGTACATCTATTACCCTTTTATACTACATTGCGTTACACTTCAATCTGTGTAAAAACGATATGAAAGATTAATTACTTAATAACCCCGGTAAATTACTTATAAGAGGGTTACCTAAACGTAGCCCCAACACAACTATTTGCCTGCATTAATTTTGATTGGTGTAAGCAGTTGGAAGCGAATTTATGTTGTGGTGAGAAACCGTTCCTGAACCTACATACAATCTCTCGACATATCTGTGTCTGTTAGTGTCCTACACCAACCTTTACATTGTCCATAATAGTTTGACCATGTGCCATCATTTTGGCACGTGATCCATTTTTTTCCGCGAAGTTCGAAGCCATTGTTGCACTGTCGTTCGCAAGTCGTCCCCGGGACAAATACTGACACCCCACTGCCACAATTTGGAAATGATCCTCGGTAAAGTCTGGGCCTTGGACACATTGTCGTTGTGGAAACTACAGTGTAGAAACCCAGCAAACACGTCACGTTTGGATCACGTGGCTAGCAGTAACGTGCTAGCCACGTGATCCGAACGTGACATGTATGCTGGGAAGGTCAAAATAAATAAATTCTCAATGACAGTAATTAAAATGAATTACAACGAAACTCACATTTTGAGGACTTTGGTCAGGAAAGTCATGGTTAGCTAAATAACAATACATAAGCCTACTTTAACGGTTGATGTTTTACAAATAAATCCTTCAAATAATGCTTTTCAAACAAAGAAACGACAATACAAGATTTAAACACTTACCTATGCATGTCTTCAAGTCATTGCTCAAATATTTCCCAGGCCCACACTCGCACTGGAAATCTCCCGGCGTGTTAACGCAGCGTTCACTGCAGCCATGATTTGTCTCTGAACATTCGTCAATGTCTGAAATATTTTCTTTAATGATTAAAAAATCCATGGATAAAACTATTTGTAAACTTTCAACGTTTAATATAGACGTTTACCAATGTTTCAAAATAGGTTCCACTTTCACAAAATTATTTTTCATAAAACAAGACGTGGATCAGAGAGGATTGGTACTTCAAATCATTTGAAGTATTAGTTTAATATAACTGGTACTTCTATTTGTGGAAATGTATTGTTTAATTGTGTTCGAATTGAATAAGTAATTGGAGTAACACACAAAGATATTCGACAAAGTTGTGATGAAGTTTTCAGATTTGTAGGTTATGTATTTGACTGCATTCTTTCTGAGTGCAAATTTCAGTTTCTAATGACAATTCTATAACATGTTAACTAATTTAATGCCGGTATTTCTGTTTTGGTACAATATACACGAACCCACCCATGCAAGTTCTACCATCGGCATTGAGTCGGAAACCTCTCTGGCAAATGCATCTGGCAGGGGATGCTGGGTCATTTTGTTGACATCGGAAACTACAGCCTAATGTAGCACAGGTGACATCGGCTGAAAATACAATCGGGATATATATATATATATATATATATATATATATATATATATATATATATATATTACAATACTAATTCGGCGCTAAAAGTACGTAGAACTAGTAGACCTAACTCTTGGCCTATAAAGTGTATATATACAGTGTTTATTTTCAGGCAGCAATCTCAGTATCACTGTATTTACATACAGTACAGTTACATATCATTTCTGGTGTGCATCTATTGCAAAGAAAATATGCACATAACAAATAAACAGATGAAGAAATGGTAGCGAGCTTGGCCAAATGGGATTCCCCCCACTAGCTTGTGTAAACCTTACATTCGCATGTCCTCTGGTCCGCGGCAAGTTTCATCCCAGCAGGACAAGAACACTGGTATCCACCCACCGTGTTTTGACAGGAATGGGAGCACTTGTGGAAGCCAAGACGACATTCGTCCATATCTGAAGTGGACAACATTTTAATAAATAAAGAAATAAATAAACATTTGCATAAATCAGTATATCGCAGAATGACTAACGGACTGAGTAGCTGAAGTGCATAAAATACACGAAAAATACACGTAAATACTTAAGGATATAATGTTCACCTGTGCAGTGTTTCTGGTCCTGGGTGAGCATGTATCCGGTATTACAAGTACAGTACGGCTCGAACTGGATGATGGGATGCTGGCAGTTGTGCTCACAGCCATATCTGGAGCATTTCCACTTCTCTGAAACATCGATATTAAAAGTGTAAGATATTCCCTTACTAACCCAGCCTTGAGGAGGTGGAGTTGGGCGTGTGCGTAATGGCAGACCCGTCACGTGACCCCTTAGCTCTCAAGGTACCAGCTCCCCCATTTCTACTTCCCTAAAAAACGCTAAACTGGCAGAACGAAAGAAAAAAAGCGATTTTTTTCAGACTTGCTCCCTACACTTCACAGTAAATTATCTTCGTCGACGTGTACCATTCTATACAAATCGAGGGCTTGAATAGGAAGTACGTGTGTGTGTGTGTGTGTGTGTGTGTGTGTGTGTGTGAGAGAGAGAGAGAGAGAGAGAGAGAAAGAGAGCAATTGGGGTGTAAATAGATCAACTTACGTTCACAGTTCTTGCCATCACTAAGTAAGTAGAACCCAGGCGGGCAGTGACACTTGTACGACCCGGGGGTATTATAACACGAGTCACTGCATCCACCATTGTTGATCCGGCACTCATCAATATCTGAAAATATAAACAACATGATAAATTTATAGTCCTGCCAAATGAAATATACAATTTTTATATTAATCCCGCGTAACGTAGTAGATGTGACTATCATATTTATTTATGTTTTTCAATAAATCACAAGTGCTCTTAGTCAAATATCAAATGGACAGTCTAAAAAAAAATAGTAAAAATTAGTAAAATAGGCTTCTGCTGCTCAGCCGGTGCCTGTGCACTATATATTTATCTCTATGGTTTACCTTCACATCTGTTTCCTTGCTTCAAGCTATATCCACGTTGGCATGCACAGCGATAAGACCCCGGTACGTTAATACAGTCCTGTTCACAGCGGGCAGTCCCCTCCCAACACTCGTCAACATCTGCAGGGAAATAATAATAATAAAAATAATAATAATAATAATAATAATAATAATAATAAGGATAATAAGGATGATGATGATAACAAAGAAATGATGATGATAATAAAAGAAATGTATTAATCACGATTTCAATTTGTCAGACTGAAGTCAACTTTCAATAAAATAAAATCCTTTGAGTGAGAAAATTATGGAAGTCACACCCCGCCCTTTCATATACCCATTATCCCCCCACAGCTGACCAACAGGGGAAGGTATCTGTTAAAATACTCATTTACACAATAATAATAATAATAATAATAATAATAATAATAATAATAAACTACTAGACAGAACAAATAGAGGGCACCTTTACAACAAAAAAGGCAATTTTGATATTTTGAAAAAAGTGTAAGGAGACTGAAATTCAGCTTGAATTGAAATAACTTCTTTTACTCCGAAGAACTGTCATTCCTGAATGCTTTATCAAAATTTGAAAAAAAAAAAAACTTTTGAGACATGTTGTACATTTACTATCAAACCATAAAAGTAAAAAATAAATTAATTAATTAATAAATAATAGATATGGATAAAATAGCCGAAGAGGGGATTTTTCTCTAAAAAGGATGGGAAATTGCTTGGTTTTGAGGAAGGGGGGTTAACGTGGTCTACTGTGTCATCCTTAGATTCCACATTCTCTTGAAGAATAATTATAATAAGAATAATACTAATAAAGCAGCACAATGTGCGCTGATTGTGAAATTTTGTAAACAAAAACTGCCAAAATGAACAAAAGTAAATATGTGTGCGCATAACGAGAAATTGAAAATGTAGCTTACCTATGCATGTCTTTTGGTCACTGCCAAGCTTGTAACCAATACGGCAGCTACACGTGCGGTTTGGCCAGTTAGCTATGCAGACGTCACTGCACCCGCCATTGTTTTCACAGGGATCTACTTCTGCAAGAATCGATGTTAACAGATTGTTGAATTATTACTTTAGTTACGCTTATTCTTATAAAAACTTTGATATGGTGAGCAAGACTGCTCAACAAGTGGTGAAGCAACCTACGTTTTTGGAAAATGTCAGCTAGAGGAGAGTCACTGGTCACTACTCTGATACTCTGGGGGATGGAGTACTAGAGATGCAATATCCCGAAAAACGGGGAGTGTTTCAAAACAAATGCAGGTACCGTTAATGCTATTAAACCCGTGAACTTTAGGATTTAGGTCATAGCCACAGGCCAAAGTTTTTATTGATTAAAAGTGCTAGAGCGTTAAGTTTTCAGCTCCAAGCCAATGGGATTCCCTTTCGAGTGAACTAATTTGGAATATACGAAACGAAAAGCTGCCAATCTTACCTGCAAACTGTATACGGGTATCCACAAAAACCAGATATTTTGAAAACAAATTCAAAATATTTTAACTTTTAAACAAGGAAACCAGCAAACACCGTCTCTGTCTTACCCTCGCATGATAGACCGTCGCCGAGCAGCCTATAACCAAGACGACACTCGCAGACACGTGTCGTTGACGAGGTCCTCCTACATCTGTGCTCACAGTCGCCATTGTTGACGTCACAGGGGTGAGGTGCCGCAGTGGGCGCAGGTGTGGTTAGATTGGTGAAGACAGGTGCTGGGGTTATTCTGGTCCTGAGAGTCCGTCGTTGTCCCCCGTCTACCGTAGTCTGTGCTGGCGTAGTGCTCACAGGGGCAACTGTATTTAATGTTGATAAGAATGGGCTGAAGGTTATTTTAAGGTAATTACTGGTTCAATTTGCTCAAAATGAATAAATCAGTATCCACAGAACTTTATTTGTTATATTGGTTGAAAAGAATAATCCGTTTACGAGTTTTTCGTGAAAAATATAAAATCAGCTTATTGACAAATAAACGCGTTTGGGGATTTAATAATAGATGACACATATTTGTACGTGTGCACTACTTTAAATATGAACAACAATTGAGGCCCCGTTAATTTGAACAGTTTGGAGGTTCACCCTTCTGCCCCCCCCCCCCCCAATTAAAAAAAAAAACAGCAATGGCGTACTTGGGGGGGGGGGGGAGGGGGCACACATCAGTGTTACAAGCAAAACAAAGACAAAAAACAAGCAATTCTTCTTTCACTGTTCCCTATTAATATTACATGATATCAAATGTACAGGCATCTACTGCTGTAGCTTTGCCAGCGAAACGAATAGGGAACGGCGGTGGGGCTGGGGGGGGGGGGGGGGGGGG